CCCTTCTCTCTCTTTCTATATATATATGTATAGGGGGATTATAATTACATCGGTGTAACTTTTACTAAGTTTTACACCGCTCAATAACTTTTATATTAATTATGAGTTTTGTAAATCCAATCGTCAGATTCAAAGTTCATATCACTTTATACGTGTATATCAAATTTTGTTAAAATTGAACAACAACTTGAAGGTAATCAAAATGTTCATATTTTAGTGTATTTTGAAAAGAATATATTACGTCAATTTTGTTTTATAAAAATGAAGTATCAAATCATCTTGGATTAATATAAATTTTTTTTATATATGATCTAAGAGATATGAATTTTCAATCTAACAGTTAGATTTTCAAAATTCACATTTAATATAAAATTATTTAATAATAGTTAGTAAAAATTACACTAGCGTTTTTATAATCTCCTTTTTATATATATATATATATGATTCCTTGAATTCGGTATTTTTATGATTTATGGCCAAAATTTTGATTGAAACAAGTAGTTGTGTCTTATAATTATACACACGTCTTTGTTTCATTCTAAATTATGGTGACATTTTTTACACTTGTCTTGTTGCCGATTACAAATGTAAATGCATTATTTGAGCTCACGCATCACTCATCAACCATTAAACAGACAACAGTCAAATATTAACCGCAAGAGAACTAAACCTTTCATGGTAAAGTAAATTATTCTTCTATTTCTTTTTATAAGAAACATAACAATGTGATTATTAATTTTCAGTTCCACCTTTAAAAAAAAAAAAAAAACTTTATATAGGGCTATGTCACCGAGTTATATTAATCATTTCAAGTGTTGTAAAACTACAACTTTATGATTTCCTATTGATTCGTTGGTGACCCTCACGTTCACCCTAAACTATACATGTTGAATTAAATCAAGATCTTCATGGACATTAATACATTACGGGAGCGGATAGACGCACAATGTCCGAACTAATTTAATTTTAACTTCATATTTCGGACAGTCACCAATCCTAAATACTAGTCCTATCTATAAGTAAGATGGGATAAATTATAGACAAAAATAGTAATTAATGTAATTATTATTAATTAATTCTATTAATTCAAGTTTCGTTTCAAACATACCCTTTATTTTAAATAGCTGTTATATTTAATATTAGTTATAAATAAATGTATAGAAAGGAGTTACAATAAAGAATAAAGATATAAAAGAAATTTAATCATAATTGTTATTTATAATTAAGATTAAAGAAAAATTTAATTTATTACTTATAATTAGGATCGAAAATAGTATTAATTACTAAAAAATAAAAAAAAAACTTCTAGAATATTGAGAAAATGGATTATACACCAGTATTGTAAACAGTTTTACATAATCATTTAATCACAAATCATCATGTAAAATAAATTTCTTTACTTTTACAATTATTGCTTTAAAAGTCCTACCAATGATAGTTTCTGTATTGGTTGAGAATATAAAAGTTTTTGAGCATGACCATTAAACCTTTTTGGAATTTGAGCATAGGACTATTACTCAAATTTCTATCCGCCAAAATATAGAAAGCAGAAATTCTGAATTAAATGTAACATGTTGATGTGGTTGACTTGAATTACAGAAAACCCAAGCCAGTTGTCACACGATACCACAATGTCTGCATAGTTCTTCACCAAGTATAGGCTAGAAAAATCAGTAATAGCAGATCAAAAGAACGCGTTGGCATGTCAACCTTAAGAAAGTGGCAACCACGTTTTCATCAACATCTACCTTAAATACGTGCACCACTCTCTCATAAATGCATGCAACACAGCAACACATAGAATTTGGCATTGCTAATGAAACATGAGGCTCCACTACCCATACCTTACCCTTTTCATGCTTTTGGACATGAGCACCATAACCATTTATGGTCTTGCTACACAAGGAACCATACCCTCTGAGGCCTTGCTGTCCATTGGTCACTATCAAAGAACATGCCCAGATGCTGAAGGCATCATCTCACAAAAGGTTGCTGCTTGGGTTAAGAAGGACCCCTCATTGGCCCCTGCCATCATTCGCCTTCACTTCCATGACTGTGCTGTTAGAGTAATAATCACAGTACTCAATCTCTCTTTATGTGTCTTTCATCTACTCATTTCTTCCTTACTTCAACTTGCTATGTGCCATTTCATACATAATCATGCCCCATTGTAAATCAAGTTGGTTGAATTGTAAATGTTTGATAATATTTATTGTGAATAAGTTAACTAATAAATGTAAAATGACATAAAATAAATATTTAGTTATTTGAAGTAAAAATGAGATTTCAGATAAAATGAGGATAAAATTTAAAAGAAAATAAAGTTAATAGTAATTTTCATAAACTATTTCAAATAGCTTATGAAAATAAACTCGTACATCAAATAAGTCTATTTTAGTTTATGATTCTAAATTAAGGTTGCAATTATAATTGTGGTGTAATTCTTTATATTAGGGGAAAATATGGGTGATGTGGTCTCAATTATAATCATAATTAGATGAATTAAAAACCTTTATGTTGTGATTGTAATTATGATTCAGGATTGTAATTTTAAATTATATTCTGGTCAAATTAACATATAAGTTATTCAAATTAATTTTTTTTAATATTTTGTTAAGCGTACTTTTAAAATAATTATTATAAAAATCACAAATCAATGATCTTAGTATTCATGACCCATTCATAATTAGATGACTGTTATGAACCATTCATATTTACATGAGCGTTAAAAACATTAACACCGTCATTGCATTATAATTAAATTCATTTAAAACTCAAAATAAATTTATATGAGGATAACGCGACAATTTGAACTAGAACATGATCTGTTACATGACTATTTTTATAAGATGTTCATAATAACTGTGATGTTGTTAATTGGGACCGGAACTTACTTCTGATTTCAAAATTGGATCACATGCAGGTCCTGGTCTCATCATTGTCTGGATGATGACAAACAAAGCTTTATTGAAACATATGCAATAAATAACCGGACCATGGTGCTACCATTTGCACTTTAATTTCTCCAACATCAATAACCATTTCTATTTGTTACTTATTTTCCCTCTCCTTGTTTCTACACAATTTTGCAGTCATTGTTTAAGTTCATAGAACAAAGTTATTTGTATTATCCAAAATGAAATGAATTACCTTTTTAAGTAACATTAGTAACACAAATATAAAACTTTACTAGTTAAATCCCTAATATTATTAACTTGCGGATTATGACTTAATATTGTAATATTGTGATTAGAAGTGTTAACTTTAAGTGAATGTAACATGAATTGCTTTGTTTGATACACTTCAACTGATGAAAACTAATGCAGGGATGTGATGGATCAATTCTGCTTGACCATCCAGGGAGTGAGAGGAGAGCCTTAGAGAGCAGAACTCTGAGGGGGTTCCAATTGATTGATGAAATCAAGGTTGAGTTAGAAAGGAGGTGTCCAAGAACAGTCTCTTGTGCTGACATTCTCACTGCTGCTGCAAGAGATGCCACTCTTTTGGCTGGAGGACCATTCTGGGAAGTCCCATTTGGTAGAAAAGATGGCAAAATTTCCTTAGCCAGTGAGGCCAATTTGGTCCCCCAGGGCCATGAAAACATCACAGCCCTTATTGCATTCTTTCAAGAAAGAGGGTTGGACATGCTTGATTTGGTCACTCTCTCAGGTTCACACACAATTGGGAGGAGCACTTGCTCCTCTTTTGTGGACAGGATTCACAACTTCAATGGGACTGGAAAGCCTGACCCCTCACTCAATGTCTATTTCTTGAAGCTGTTGAGGAAGAGGTGCCAAAGGGTATTGGATTTGGTGCACCTTGATGTTATAACCCCAAGGACTTTTGACACAACCTATTACACTAACCTTATGAGGAAGGTGGGGTTGTTGTCAACAGATCAGTTACTTTTTTCAGATGCAAGGACTGCTCCTTTTGTTGAAGCATTTGCAACACAGCCTTTCCTTTTCACTAGCCAGTTTTCAGTGTCAATGGTCAAGCTTGGGAATGTTCAAGTTCTGACTAGGCCTAATGAAGGTGAAATCAGAGTTGATTGCAATTATGTCAATAGAATCTAATATGTGGTTAATTTTGTTGTTCCAATTTTACATTTGGGATCTCAATAAATCGTATAGCCAGGATTTGTGTCTTTTGCATATGATGAACATTGGTGAGTGTCTCTGCTGCTGTGTACACTAAATATATTGATAAATCAAATACAATTACAAACTTACTCTTCATCCTAGTATCTGATCATCTCTCTCTCTCTCTTCCCCATGCTCAACTTTGAATGCATGAATGAAGTTTTATTTTTCTACAATTCATAGAAATAAGAAAAATACATTCATAGAGTTGTGTATCTATTCACTCGCCTATCATTTCAGTATATAATTGATGTTCAATCACCACAACCAAGATGGACCACTGGCTACTTCAGGGCTACAGAATTGATGTCCTCCAACATTGCAACTCTAAAAAACCAAGGGAAAGTCCTCCTGCATCCACTGAGGCAAAATCAATTTATCTTGAAGGAAATATCATTCACTCATCTTAAACATAAGTTCTAACCAGGGGCAAGCATGGATAGTTTAAAAGAAAACATGTGGGGTGACACAGAGTAGCAATGCCACGTTACAAGTTACAACAAAGCTCATCCTCACCCAATGGCCTTACAAACAACCCACGGATTCTGTGGGGTGATACCTCTCTAGACATCTAGTGTGACAAAGCAGAAAGCCAGAGAACTACTACAGTTTCCTGAAAATGTAAAATACAAGAAGAATTAATGCCTAGTTTATATAGAAGGAAATTTGCATAAAAAACTGACGGGCATTTGAAATTATTATACATGCCTTTATGCTGAAACAATTTTAGAAAGGAAACATGCATCCAAAATAAGAGGAAATAAAGACAATATTTATTTTTATAAAATATTTATATCATGAGAATATAGCAAAAAATACTATTAAAAAGAGAGTGATTGCATTAAACCAAGAAGCACCTCAACTAGTTATTATTTTTACTTATGTCAAGAACAAGTCATTATTTTTAAATAAGTCTCTAGCAATCATTTCTAAGAAATTTATCAACCTTATCATTCTAATTATATACATAAAAAAAATAGAAAAATTGAACCAAACCAATAATCAAGGAACAAAACAAACATGAATGAAAGAAATCATGATATACAAAGATAATGCCACCAGCACAGCGAAAATGAAGCCGTGAGCATTGTGAAGATGAAGCAACAAATTTGAATCCATTGTAGAGAAGATAGTGGTTTCAGTTTAGGGTTACTGTAAGCACAGTGAAGATGGATCGATGCAGAAAAGGAACAAGTTCAGGTTGGGTTTTCTGGGAAAGAAGTAAATACAATAAATTCTAGAAATTCCTTTCATAGTGGTGAAATTCTCAATCTGTCATTTGGTTTAAAAAAAAAAAAAACCTGGTTAAAGAGGAAATTGATAACAAAACTACAAAATTTACAGCCAGTCTTATATTGAATATATAAAATCCAAAATCCATCCCTCAACTATCATGCATTCAAATGCTAACTTCCAACCCCTGACCTTTCATTCATTAGCTAGCCCTACACATCTGTAACTCTAAAAGTGAAATGTATTCCAATCCAAATAATCATGACAGTTTCCAGCTTGGTTTGACTTTGACATATAAAGCAATAATATGATACAAAATCCTTGAAAGTAAATGAAGCAGATCAAAAGTACCTTGGTAAGAAAGAGGACAGTTATGACAAGTTTCAAAAAAGTTTACCATTAATATGGTTATAATATCAAAATGAACCTAAAAACTGATATGACATAGAGCAGATCAAAATGAACCCATCTTCTTTTTACATTTAAATTTAACTATCAAAAGAATAGACATTGACTGGTCATCACCAAAAATTCAAAATAACTTAAAGTGCAAATAGAAAGTTCCTCACCTAGTTTTGCTCCTACAATAAGCCTCTAGCAATCACTATACGAAGAAGTTTCTCTGCCATATGATTTTCATTTTCTTTAAAGAGAGCATAAATAATTATTTCATTAGTTACAACATCTGCTGGATTGATGCAAAGGAAGGCAAGAGGTGACAATCTAAAAGAGCCAAGAGGAGTGGGCTAGGCATAGAGGTTTGGGCCAGTCAAGGCCCAATAGGCTCGATGGGCTTGGAAGGCCCAAGTCAAGCTTCTCATGGGCCTATCTTGATATGACCATTCTTCTTATGTTTTAGTAGTATAGTTTCCATTTATTTTTGGTCTTGTATTTTGGACCACATAGAGTAGCATTTTTGGGTTTTAGGCTTGTTGGGCCTAGTTTTGGGCTTCATGGACCTTTGGACTTTTGGTACCCAATATTGGGCTCATTTTCATTCTTGTAATTTTTCCTTTTCATTGTATTTGTTTGGCCATTGTATTTAGGTCATTAGAATAGGAAAATACAAGGAAAACTTAAGTGGACGGATTAGGTTAAATTAGGGTTAATTTGGAAGTCATTTAAGTTGCATTTGAGTCACATGTTCCACACCACTAGTGGCTGAACATGTGCTTACTCAAATGCAACCCTAAATGCTATCTAAATTAAATTTAAAAGCATGGAACACCTAAACTCACGGACTTACACATGTGCACCTAAATTTGAATTCAAATTTCAAATTTGAATTCAAACTTTAGGCACCATTTTGTGAAGCCTTAGTCTAGGCGCCAATGCTTATCAAATTCGTGCATACTTAAGTCATTCCTTCACACTTTGTATTCACTTTTGATATATGAAATTTGAGAGCACATTTTCTGCCAAATTTCTTCAAGAGTCACCGTGAGAGAGAGCCTTCACTTTTAGGAACCCTAGCTAGGTTTTCCTACCTTTTGAAGTGAGCTTTCCCTTGATCTTTAAGCTTGGATGCTTCCATCCTTGGCTTAGCCTCATTCCATCCGTGAATCCTCTCCATTCAAGAGTTCAAACATTCGGTCATCAAGTCTCCATTGAAGAAGATCCGTGCATTGGTGAAGCTAAGGAGAAGAACTTCATTCACTTCTCCTTCCTTTGCCATCATGCAGGAAGACAACCAAAATCTTCCATCATTGACAACATGGTCAAAACTTCATCAAACAAGCTCTCTTTACAAAACCCACTGATCATGACATTATATGTCCAAACATCTAGATGATAGCCTTTAATCAGCAGATTCTGAAAAACCTTTTGTGCCGTCTTAAGTCTTCCACTTTACACAATCCATTCAGAAACTTGATGAGGTTTTTGCGAACACTCCACTTGGCAAGCGGACTAAGTTTCGATGTAGTATTTAAGTATCGTCCTCTAGGATTTGAGAATTTAGTAATTCTTACTCTAATGATCCAATAAAAGACATTGATATGATTGAAAGTGAATTAATGCAAAGTAAAATAAAACGATAATGTAAAATTTATAAGAACAATTATATAAAGCAAGGATTAGACTCAGGAGTACTTGCTAACTCTTAAATCTTCTTAAAATAAATATGATTTCAATTTCATGACTTCCACGTTCATTTAGTAATTCAACAAGATTCCTCAAAGTTGAATCCTAAAGTGATTAATCTAAAACATGATTCCTCTATGTTTTGAAATTAACACTTTGCATTAAGAACAATAACTTGAACAAGGTGACTAAACAAATCAAGTCTATTCCTAGAGCAAGAGATGTGATGGAATAACACTAAGGCCAAGAAGACCAAGAGGTGATATATTGAAGGAGGCAAGAGGAATGGGTTAGTGTTGAAAAACCATAGGAAGAGTGAGCCTACTTTTGGGCCTTAACTCCTAAGTTTTTATTAGCATAGCATTTACTTTTATTCCTATTTTGCCCTTGTCTTAATTTCCTATTTTACCCTTGTATTTTGGATATCTTAGACATAGGATTTATTTTACTTGTATTTCCCATTTTTACCCTTGTATTTTGGGGTGCCTTAGTCATAGAATTTATTTTTACTTGTATTTTCCATTTTACCCTTGTATTATGGGGTACCTTATAGGATTTTATTTTATAGCTAGGATATTTTATTAGGGTTAGAAAAAGGCCTAGACGTATATTTTTGGTAGCATTGGATTTGTTTTTGGACTTGGTAAGGCTTAGGCCCAAGTGGAGGGCACCTAGGATGCATGGTCTTATCATGCACCTAGATGTAGCTTAACCAAACCCAAAGATTCCATCCTTGGCCACCAAGTAGCATCTAGGGTTAATTTAGGTTTCATTTGAAGTGCATTTGGCTTGCATTTAATGCAACCCTAATGCTTCCTTCCTTATATAAATACCCTAGGCTATGCAACTTGTAATTACTTTGGATGTTGAATATAGAGAGAGCCTTTGTGCCTTTATATCATTCCTTAGTCACCCTTGGCTAATTCGGCCACCACCCTACCATCTCCACCTTGAGAGAAACAACCCTAGAAGTGGCCTTCATCACGATGAAGTGAGCCAACCCTAGAGTACTATCCTCAAGCCTTTCATCAAACACCTTCTACCTAACCACCAAACCGTTCCATTCCATCATCATCCTCCCTAAAACCTTGCGCCACCTTGAAGAACTTGATCTTTGGAGAAAAAGTGTCCTTCCTTGTTCATCATCTCACATCCATGCAAGTAAGGATGCCATCAAGATGTTTAGGTGAAAGATTCAGTTTGGGTTTTTAAAAACGTTTTCCAACCGGATTCAAAAACCAAAAATCATACAACGGGTGATCAAGCCGATATAAGCATTAAGAGAAGAATCAAGCACAAGTAATGAAAATGAAATGCATATATATATATATTTAAGAAGGAGAAGAGTTAGTAGTTACATCCAACCAATCCTCAATGATTCAGCCCTTCATGGCCATTTACAAGATCAAAGGAGTAGAATAAGAAATTACAAAGGATGAGATGAAGAAAAGGAGTTGATCCTCGTTCCCAAGTGATCCAGCCTCCAAATCTTCATTCCCACTCTGTTCTTCCCCCTTCGTGTGCTCCCGATCTTGTTTTTGCTCTGTTTTTTTTTTCTCCTTTCAGTTCTTCTATTTCCCTTTTATATTAGCTTCAAAACAGGGGAGAAATTAAAACTTTCAAGCCCACCACTGCAGTTGTAGAATCACAGCTATGGTTGTGGAGAGTTCTTCAAGGTGAAGTAAGCTTCATAGCTACAGTTGTGGTTTCACAGCTGTGGAAGAAAATATGCACAAATGTTTTGATGATGCCAAAGTGATTATAAAGCATTGAAGAAGAATCAAGGTTGAGCTAAAGCAAGTTGATGCAAGAACAAGATCTCAAGTGGTACATAGATAAGTCTTGTCAACTTAGCTAAGTATGTAAAAGAATCTTTTGGAATTGCAAGTATGCTTGGCCTTGAGAATAAGTTTTCAAACATTTCAAATTAATCACTTTAAATTTAAACAAGTTTTAAATCTTTTGAAAGTAAGTAAAAATGTTTTCAAAAGACTTAACAAAAGCTTTAAAGAATAGTTCAAATCATTTCTTAAAAGAGATTTGTGAAAGAAATTATTGAGATGAAGTTTTCTACACAAAAGCTTTTGAAACAATAAAAATATGTTCTGGTAATCCATTACCAGAACAGGAAATTTCAAAGTTCAAATTCTGAATACAAAATGTGTTCTGGTAATCGATTACCAGACCCTTGTAATCGATTACCAGAAGATAAAACTTCAAAATTTGAATTTAAATTATACAACGTTTCAATCATTTTGAACTTTAACCGTTGTAATCGATTACCAAGTCTTGTAATCGATTACCAGAGCCTATTTTCTGAAAAATTATAGAGAGTTACAACTCTTCATGAAAAGACATAACTCAAGAAACAATTGTCTATAAATACCTATAATTTTTCAGAGAAAAGTGACGAACTCTAATTGTGAAAATAATCTTTACAAATCACTTGGCCAAAATCATTTGCAAAATCTCTAAAGAGTTCATCAAAGATCATGAAAGTGTAATATCCACTCTTCAAGAGAGTTATTCTGTAATACTTAATAGATCATTGGATCTGTAAAGGAGAAAGGGTTTTTCTCCTTGTTGGTGTTTGAATCTCAACACAAGGAAAGGGAGTTCCGAGGTGTTGGAGGATTCATTTTCTTGTAAGGTTTACAAGAGTAGTGGAAATCTCAAGTGGGAGACTTGAGGACTGGATGTAGGCAGGATTGGCCGAACCAGTATAAAATCAAGTTTGCAATTCTTCTTCCCCTACACTTTTAATTTCTTGTTATTAATTATAATTGTGTAGTTTGCATCATCATTCATTCTTTACATACAAATTTTTCTAAGGAAATAAATTGATTAAGAAGTAATTGGAAAAGTTTTTATAAGAGGAAATTTAGTAAACTTAATTCATCCCCCCTCTTAAGTTAATTGAGGCTAAGGGACTAACAGTTGTCACTGTAGATACTACAGCGTTAAGGAATAGAAAGTTGACCGAGAGTTTGAGTTCAAAATTCTGTTGGATCGAGCGCTTACCACTAGGCCAAAAGCTATAGCTTATAGTCAGGGCACAACTCTTTTTACTTAAGAGTCCATGAGTCCTTCTGGCTGACTTTCCTTCAGTCCTCAAGAGTCTTCAAGCTTTATTTCCGACCCGGACAATTTTAGGGGTCTACAGTGGCGGAGGCTAGGTGGGGCAAGTCCCTGGCGAATCATGGCGCTTGGGCTGCTGCGCTCTTAAGTAAAAAGAGTTGCGCCCTGACTATCAGCTATAGCTTTTGGCCTAGTGGTAAGCGCTCGATCCAACAATTGGTATCAGAGCCAAGGTCATGAGTT